TTACACTCATTCCACACAGAAACCACACTCTATTATGTTGTACTTGATCATCCACATAGCGGGTACTGAAAAGCGAATAATCGAAACTCTACCGAACTAAAATTACAAACTACAAAACAAATCTCACACCGCTGTATAATTTTTGAACTAGAAAATTATTTGCAGCTTCTTTTTTTAAATGGGAATCTGAATTATTCCAATTTTTTTCATTTTGAGGTACAAGGAACTACAAGTTCTGCGTTTCAACTAAGAGACTTTATGTATTCTACCAAAAATTAAATGTTACACAAATAAAAATCAAAATTGCCTAGTGTGGCATTGAATAAAAATCTACATCACAAAACGATACAAGGAAAAGGGCTGAAAATGAATCCTCACCTTTCTATTATATCATCTTGGGGAATCTTCATAAACAACTGTAATAAATCCAAACAAATAAAGAACGCTTGTAGAGTAGGACGATTTAACCTGCTTGCAAATGTTTTAAGCTGATTGGTTTTTAGAGGTCAATTTAGACCCACAAAATATACAAAAGCATGTTAGAAACCTTTTTATTGCTCCGTACAGAAAGTAGCTATTTTTGCTTACGGTTGATATCAAGGAAAATAAATTTCACAAGTGCTAATTCAGAGCAAGGGAAAACAGTCAGCTGATTTTCCCTGGTCTTATTTTACTTTCCCTAGCTCTCAATCAGTTCTCCAATGGTCTAACACGTGGGCTAGTGTTTATTTACCATTTATTTTTACAATTGAAATTAATTAGCTGTTTTTACAATTCAACAATGTAAATCCAAACAGGAATAGACATGAACCAATTTTGTGTGTTTTCAGCATAATGTGTGTTAACTGCACAATAAAAATCACCTTTAACGTATCACTTAACATTGTCAAGATTTTTTACAAGCCATTTGCTTTATTTTCATGTTTAAAATTATGAAATATAATTTTTTTATTTTACTGAGAAATGTTATTATGTATTTGAGTATTTTGATGTCATGATGAAAAGTATCATTTATATAACTTGTACTGAAAGTAATTTTCAGACTATTGCTCCAATTATTCCCACTCTCGCATGTGTTCCTGTGTGAGGCAAAGCCGAACTTGAGCCCACATAAAGCTTTCAGTACTAGTAATGAAATAAACTATAAAAAAATGGCTATAATTATTATGAACAAACAAAATTACACCATTGTCACCTTCTTGCAATGTTAATAAACATATTTCAAAATATTAATTAATAAGTTCATACTAGGCTATATATTTTATTTTTTCGAGCTCAGTAACTATTAAAATAAAATCTATAAGTATAATCTAGTATATCTTTCAAATCATTTTTACTGAATCATATTTTATTTCAATATAAAAAAGCTCCTGCTTAAAGCGATACTGATAATGGTAATAAAATATAGCCTAAGGAAAAGAGAGCAAGGTGAGGATGCTGATGTTGACATGATGTATCTTTATTCAACATCTCTTGTTTACACTTGCCTTGTGCTCTAATCCTACATGACTACAAGAAAATAGTCCCAACTCAGGCCAAAATACTGTACATAATATATATGTTCTCGTTTTCAATACTATGCAGAAGAATATAATTATGTAATCTATTTAAAAGATATTATTTAGCTTTATAACTGACACAGATGGTTTTTTATTTGCAGAGCAGCAAATTTGTAGGCTTGGATATTATAATTTGCTTCTAAACCTCACTATAGTGTTTAGTTGTTGTTTTTTATCAATATTTTTATAAGAACCCATTTTTAAATTGTCATACATGAAGTCAGTTAAAAATTATATTTATAAACAACAATAAATTATGTGTACTGTGAATTTTATTGGATATTATCGTTTTATTTTAGGTCGTTTCTATTCAGACCTACTGGAAATTGTGTATAGTAATTGTATTTTGCTGATAATAATTATGGAAGAGGCAGGTATGCTATGGAAGGTGGTATCGTTGACTAGGCCTATACACTTCTCAATTGATAATTACTCTTTCTACTGTAGGCTGCAATAAAATTTGTCTTTATACGTGTAAACTAGCTGTTCTGAATTATAGGCCTACACAGTTTTAACTGACTACTCCCGTACGTAGGACGGGCTAACACCTCGTATTTATAAAAAAGATTTGAGCAAATATTTTGGGCATGTATACAATTTAATTTTGGAAGAGTAAAATAAGGTAGGTTACATGTCATATATTAAATGATGGTGGATTTTAAAAGAATTGGGCAGGTTCAAACTTTTTAGAAAAATCTAAATTTTGGATTTTAAAACCCTAGAAAATCTAAAGATCTCTAAGAAAAGGTGAGATTCTAAATTTTAACTTATAAATACAACACCTTATAGTCATTCAAAGTGGGAAAGATCAAGATTTATTTCATACTAGTGAACCTGTGCGGCTCAATGCCCCGCAAAAACATATGAATAAATTTAGAAAACAAATTCATCGTGTTATATATTGACTCGTCGAAAATTAAATACAGTAATAATAAAGCATTAGAAGGGAAGCAATCCAGCCATTTTCTAGCTGTATGCGTATTATATTTAGTAAATTAATAAGTGTTCAAGTTCAAGTATGTTACAGGGTAGTTTTTTTTTTTAAGATTCTTAAAAACACAAACAAAACATTTTATCATATCAAACCAATAGGCAGTGAATGTAGTATATACCTATGTAGCATATTTTGAGGGTCATAAAATGCTGCTTGAAGAAAACACTTATCACAAAAGCACTTCCATGAATACTACGATTTTAGTCTTAAAGTTGCCTTCAGGAATATTACCCTGGTCAGAATTTTCCGTAATGAATATGCTTATCCTACTATTAAAAGATGTAGCCTTACTTAAAACAACCTATACAGTATATAGTTGCTCATGACTGAAATTGGTCTGGCTAAGAACATTGCTGCTCTTTAATTAAAGTGCTTGTGCTGCAAATGCCAAAGATAACAGAAATTAGCATCTTTCCATTTTAAAAGGTAACTTTGTTTCAGACGGGCAAATTTTTTATCCTCAAAATCAAAGTATGTCCTTACTCACTTGTTCCATGTTAGGACTTTACATTCTACTTTACATTGTTGTTAACCGTTCTGATCACATGAAGCCTTGTGCCATTAATGAGGCCCTTTTTGATGTATTAATATCAATAAAACCACTGCCTCCTTTTATTTGCATAATCTGTGTCTTGGCAATCCACTGACCTTAATATTTAAAAACTCAGTTGGATTTTCTAGATGGGTGCCTCTGCCTTCGACTGTTTTCGAGGACCCACTCTTCCCCTTGGCATACTGACAATTAATTACCTAACTTGTTAAGTTCATGTAGTAATTCATTAATACTGTTAGTTTATAAAAAAAATTAGATAAAAAGTACTTAGCTTGGTGCTTTCATAACTGCAAACTCAAAATACACCCACAAGTAAAAAATAATCAAGTTATTGGTTAAAAAAAACTATGTTTGTGTAAAAAGATTATTCACATGAAGTAGATGATTTGTTTGATTTCTTGATCAGCTGTTTTGTTTCTAATGAATTAATAATGTCAAAAGATTGTGATTTTAAATACATCATTTATTATAGTAAAGTTTTTCTACTTATTCTCTTATTCTCAATTAAATTTTACTATTCCCAGCATGAAAATAAAGTAGTGAGATCCATTATGAGTAAAGTTTAAGGCACACAATCCTTGATTGAAATGTAGTATACATTAATAGTCATATTACACAGAAATTATTATGTAGTAGTTTGACTATTTTCAATTAACAAACATATGTTTCTGTAAATAAAAATTATCTCCCTTGTTATCCTTATGGAGAAATATGAAACTTTAAAGGGCCCCAGGGCCTCACTCTCTAATTATTTCCTTAAAAAGAAGGTTTCCTGCACAACTTCACGTTACGCTCTTTCAAATGACACCAAAAACATGTCAATCGGTTTAGTAGTTTCGGAGGAGTAATTGTCACAAAAATCGTGCTTGCGTATTAAATAAGTATAGATAGTATATTTGGTTATATAGAATGGCACAACATTAAATTGAAATGAAATATGCACATTAAAGAGATCCTAAAAAATTAAAATGTAGGCCTAACAACTTTTAAGAAAACATGTTTAGTATTAAAAATACAAATAGATTCCATGGATGTTTTTTAACAAAACTTGTCCAGGAAGTAGACACGGACCTTGGAACAAGAGTAAGTGTTTCTGTTTACAATTTCTATTATTAGATCCTAAACTTGGCAAGGAAACGTCAACGACATTCCTGATCCACTGGAATAGCTTTTGTCAAACTAGACCTCGATACATAGGTTGGCTGGAAGCTAATTGGAAATTAATTACATTCTATAAATGACAAAAATAGCAAAAACAAAATTATACTCTATCAGGAGGAAAAGTTTAGATTAGAAATGTAAACAGAGCAATTCAGTTAAACTTTGTTTTTGATCAAGAATGTCAAGTGTTGTCGTGTTAACTAAACAAAAACAACCATTGAGTAGATTTGAGATGTCACAATGAAGCCCAAATTGACAACCATCAATTGACATTATTGTCTTTATAGTGTTTGCTTAACTAAATCCTTCTTGTTTATTACTCGCTAAACTAACGGTTTTGGTATTCCACTATTAAATAATTTCTTCAAAGAAAATAAATTCAAAAATACCCATTGGTATGCCCGTTTAGTGGTCATACTACTTTACATACTAACAACATACTATAACGTAACCTACTATCTACACTGTAGCTACACCATACACTAAAATACTATCTCTGGGAGCTGTTTCTCAGAAAATATAAACTTCTAGTGGCGCTATAAAATACATTTGTGTGAGGGGGGGGGGATTGCAGTAAAAATAACCAGTAGTACATTTCCAATAGAAATTTTTAGGAGAAAATGAAATTATATAAAATCTTAAAAGAAAAACTGCTATAAAACATTAACATTGAATTACTAGTTTCTATATACATCAAACTAACACTTCTTTCAACAGTATCTAGTTTACTTACTGAAGTAAGGGAATCCATGATGGGAGATTGATGAGTCTGTAGCGTCTACCTCTTGTAGATAGTACTTGCCAGGATCATCGTCCTTGGGCAGGCTGTCGTAGTGAGGGACAAACTTGGAATGTCCCTTCCACTGGACGAGCGCACCGTTGCGCATCAACCACTCTGCACAAGCTCTGTCCGGTCCGACCTGGTCAATACGCGACTGAGACACCCTGCAAGTCAAATAAAGTTTTGCTAATTTTATTCTATGATATACAGTAGACTATTCTTTTGGATCTGTCGGGCCACCTGTATGACTCACATACAAGCAATGCTATAAATTTATGTAAAATAACAAGTTACAATTTGCCTAGGTGCAAATTTTGTAGCTTTTGGTCCTCTCATCATTTGGTATGGCACTGTAGAAAATGTGTAGTTTAAAAAAAAAAAAATTTTTACATTGTTTTGGTTCTGACATTTTTGCTGGAAGAAGGGTCTGGTTAGAGGGTTGAACTTATTGTAAGATGGTGAATCGACAAAACAATTTTATTTTAAAAAATTGAACAACATTTTATTCTGGAGCTAAAACTTTTATGGTTTTGATTCAGTCAGCATTTTTCTAGCTTAATTTAGATCAAATAATCTTAATGTAGAATTTTGAAGAGGCATTTTTATGCTGAAATTGGGAATAAGCCTAAGTATTCAAAGTTGAATAGCTTGATTGAAAAACAATTGATTGCCATTTCTTACGAAATATAATTATCCTACATTTTTAATATTTGTTTGATCAGGTTGTGTGAGTTTTGTTGTGAAATAAACAACAAAATGAATTTGTACAATCAATAATTAATTCGTAAAGCGGGTGTTCAAAACTTTTTCAAGAGACGTAATAAATGTGGTTATAGTTTAAAAACATTGATAGAACTGCAATACTTTAATGTTTAAAATTGCTAATCTAAAGGTTTTGATTAACCATACGTAATCCTAGTATAGGCTTGTGTACCAGTAATGTTTTCAAACAGACTTTCATGCATATACTTATCATACAACAAATTATAACAACAATATAGCAATTATTGGCAAGCTCAGCTACCAACTGTAGTATATAGGCCTATAACTTTTCAGACAGCAGTTACATCTCTCTGATTGGTTACTTGTTACGCTGTTTACTTTCAAACAGATGGAAATTGTTGATTGTCTGCTTCTGCTATACTGCCACCAGCTGACTGCCATCTGGAGAGTGTCATATGACATCTAGGTCATGTGCATTGGGCCACATAATATATTGAAATATCAGAGGCAGCAGCACTTGCTGAAACATCCAATAACAGCCGTCTTGTACTAGGATAAAATGTATGGAGAGTTTATTAAATGTTTTTAAAAATGTATACAGTGCAGTAAAATCCTTGCAATTACTTCACTTTCTACTTCTTTAGAAAACCCTTATCAATTTAGATTAAACATCATATTTATTTTCCGTTAATTCACTGCCGCTTCATAAGTGTTCTATTGCTCCTAAAACTGCCCTCCATTCATTATCATGTCCTCTGTGGAATTCCTTTTCCGCTAACAATTCATTATCTCTAGCCTTATCTTATCGCTTTCCATGAATGTGGACAGACAAGTGTTTTTTTATAAACCCATTGCATTTTGCGTACCGTAATCTAAGAATCTAAGAATCAACATAAATGAATGAAAATGAAAATCCTTCTTTATTGAGGCGAACTTAGGACCTCATGGTCCTTTCTTACAGTTAACCTCTAAATAATAATAGTAATAACAATAATACATGATATGAACAAAAGTAAAATACACATTTCGTAACATAATTAATAATAAACAACATAACATACATTTATTTTCCTAGCATACAGTCACACCCACATACACTCTTTGCAGCAGCTAAGCCTAACGCACGCCATCCCGCCCTGCGTTATCTTTTATTTTATTTTACTTTAACATAAAATGGCTTAGTAACTTTTAAATGTTAAATTTGTATTATATTTTCATTATTTTACCTTAATGAAAATACATCCTACTTAATATAACGGCGGCTTTGTATTCTGATCGAACTTTTCATAGGTAAACCAAACAGGTCTGGCAGTGAATTAACAGAAAAATGTTAGTGATGGTGAAATAATGGAAAATGGCCATACGTTCTTGTAATATGCATAGCTGTAAACCAAACCGTAATAAACAAGCATACATAAAAGCTTTTACACTATGGTTACATTGTTGTTTATTAGAAAAATGTGCTTATCATACAACAGGCAACAAGCAGTGAATGCTAAAGGTTAACTACACCAAGAGCACCTGGCAATTGCATGGTAATTGAAGCCATAATGGTCCCAAGCAGTCCTTTCATAATCAAGAGTTGAAGCAATAGTACAAAATACAATTGGGTTTTAATATGTACTAAACAAATCAACAGTATTCTTAACAAAGTATTTAATTTAATAACTTATATCCAGTACGGTTACCCCTTATTCTATTTTTTTTAATAAATTTTTTGCCCATCACGTGGAAACTTAAAGAGTCAAAATAAATTTCAGGTTATACTTGATCCAATTTTTGAATTCAATATTCTGCTCATGGGCAATCACACAATTTTAAGTCCTTGGAGGCTAGCGGCCATCTTGGATAGTTTCAAACAGCTGCTGAAGAGTTATTTATTGTCCAAAATACTTTTTCAAACACCAAAGTGATTATAATTTAAATATATAGTATACTGTGAGATTAGAAATTTTCTTTGTATTTCTTTAGTTGTTTTATAAGTTAGAACGTCTAGGCTCCAAGGACTCTTAAATAGTAATTGTAACTTTAACAGTCGTCTTTAAATTGAAAAAAATCTGAATACTACCTTCAATAACAATGAGAGATAATAATAGTTTTCAGAATACGGCAATTTTACAGTTATTCTTTGTTGGCTAGGCTAACGGGTCACAGGCTGCCTGGAATTGGCTTCATCACAAGCCGTAAAAACTACTGTAGCTGTCATTTAATTTGTTAGGCTAATCCCTCTAATTCAGTGAATATAGACTACTAAATCATTTAAACTTAAAAATTGTTTAACATCGCCTAACTAACCTTTGCTGTCATTCTATAAACTTGGAAAAAAGTGGCTTTTTTTTGCAGTAACAAGTAATGTTCAGATTGTATTTCCTCTATAACAGGTTTCATTTTAAAAAATATTTGAATAAACCTTTTTTTAATTGAATTGAATTGAAGGTTACAAACCCCTACAGCTCTGAGCATTAACTTGTTATATGTTTAAATATATCAGCTTACTTTAATAATCTAATGTTGGGTGTATGTTGATTGGTTACAATTTAATTATGTTACAGTAAATGTAAAAATAATAATTTTCGCGGTAACAAGTTTAAAGGTGATCTCTCGTATTTTAATTAAATTTGAATTACATTACATTTTTTTAGTGAGCATTTATTCTGATAATTGAACCAGAAGTTGAATCACAATCTGATCGTAACATCTTCATAATCACTGAGTTTTTCTATACTCAATAGAAGTCATTTGATTATATCGCAGATTGTGGAATGGCAGATCAATTGTTTATTTTACTAAATAATAAACTTGTTTGCAACTTCTAAAAGGAGAACAACGAATTTTAAAATACATCAAGTTATTATAGTTTTAAAACTTAAATTCAATCAAAGTTAAAAGAGGCTGGCCACCTTTTTAAAACACAAATCGGTGCACATTTTTTAAAATTTTTAATTAACTTGTTTAATTTAACAGACGGAGTTAAAGGCTTTTTGTACTTTCCTAAGATATACTGCAACAAACAACCGAAAAGTCTTTCTTCAATACAGCTTAACATACACATTTAGTTAAAGAGTTATATTAATACTTCCAGAGGTCGCATCACGGAAGTAACCTCCAGGGATGTTTTATTTTTTGCGATTATATTATTTTGAGTGGTGTCGGCAGTGTGAGTGTCACTGTACCTCATTCCTAGAATCGAGTGAGGGTCAAAACTCACCCCTACTATTTTATATTTGTTAGTTTTGTTCAGTTTTGTAAGAGGCTGGAAGTAACTTCCGTGTGCGCCCTGCCGATTCTCGTACAGCCTGGAGACAACTTCCGTGATGCGACCTCTAGTTTAGTGTGTGCGTTGATTATTGCGTGTAAAGTATTACTGTAAATAATTATTTTTTTACGATTCATGGCATTATTTAGTAAATATATAGTTTTTACAAGATAAGTGAAGAAGTTAAATTTCGAATTGCAACACTCTTAGCCGTGCTGAAAGGGAGATTCACGAACGACGTATGTACAGAGTCATTTAGTATTAAGATACCCATTATGTTAAATTACTTAAAACATCAGGTATTGAGAGTGTTATCATCTAAAACCACATTATAGGACATTGTGGTAAAATTTAAATTAACTTCTTGAATATATTATTGTAAAAGATTTCTTCATATACTTTTATGTTTGATAGAATAATAGTTTAATTTTACATTTATAAAATCTAAATTAGCCTACGTTATTTTATAATTAAGAGTTCACTAAACACTTTTTTTATGTTTAAAATTAAAAATAAAACTTAATTTGTGCACTAAAATACAAATTTTACTTCATAAATGTTTGTTTTTATTGACCTGGAAGTAACCTCCGGGTGCGCCCTCCCCTGTTTTGAAAACCAATGCGCCCTCTGAAAGGTTAAAAAGACACAGTTTATGTGGAATTGCTTCGTATTAATATTTACAGAATATTTAACCATATTCTTTTGGTACTAAGGAATGTCGAATCCTATTGTCAAATTTCATAATTACATTAGGTACTGGTTTAGACTCGTAAGTGTAAAGTCATAAGACTTACCTCTGTGGGACTGTATGAGCATGTCTACTGGAAAAAAAAAATAAATTGAATTGAGATTGAATTGCTTTGTTACATAATATAACAAACAGAAGATTATTTACCACAATTTTGGTTTAAAGAGGTTTTATCCCATCTGCTCCTGACACAGATAGGTATCAGTGGGTATCAGTGTAAGTTAGTAAGCTTAGAAGTTTTAGGTGAGAAATTCTAGTTTAGGCCCTAATACAGATTTTTTATTAGCAAATTTCGTCCTGTTCTTTCTTTTTCCTGTTAAAAAACTAAGTGCAATTAAAATTAAACTAATTTCTTGCTAAACTAAATTCTTGTCAATATCTAAAACATAGGACAAAACCAAAGGCCCCTACCTTAAACTTAACTTTTCTTTACACATTTAAGTACTTTGGTATTATCCAGAGGCCACTTATTTTAAAGAGATTTTTTATTGGAGACCAAAACTAACTACATAATTGGGAAGAACATACTTGAATTGAATTACTGTTCAAATTTGACATGATTACAATTAGCGGCCTTTGAGTTCCTCCCAGAAGGCAGCGATGTCAGCGAGGATTGAGTTGAATGGGTCGCCGCCGCTATATTCCACTAAGTAGGTACAGCGTGCTGCGGCGGTTATGTTAGGTTGGGTTATCATAAATATGTTTGTGAAACTTTCCTCGTTTCGTTATGAATCGAACGATACCAGATGAGTCAATACTAAATACCCCAGATACAGGCGATGACAGGTGATGCGCGAGCTCCGGTCAAGGACCTTGGTCTACTTGAAGGCGATTTGGAGTGCGAAAGTGTGACTCATCTAGTATCATTCGGTTCATAACGAAACGACAAAAGCCCTACAAACATATTTATGGTAACCCAACCTAACATAACCACCACAGCACGCTGTATAAGAATGGTCTCCGGATAATACCAAAGTACCCACATTTATCTGGCTAATAATAAAACATTTTTAACACTAAAGTTACATACAATAAAAACTAATGGCTTACAAGTTATAAATTAAAATATGATGGAAATATGGGTTATTTACAGAATATGTGAAAATCAATTTAATATGATAATTTGTTACCGGTACATTGCTTGAACCTTAAGTTATAGAATATGAAGATATGAGAGGAAAGTTGAAGAGATAAATTTATAAAATTGTTGGGCAAGAAGAAAGACATAAAAATGTAACAATGTGAAATTCTCATTTCAAAGCTACGGTACAAATTTTTATCAATATACAAATCACAAACTACAAACAACTATAAAGTACTACGACAACTAAGTTTATATCTACAATCATTATTATTTTGCCTAAGTTAAGCCAATTTTAAACTGACCACTTATACAAATACTTTTAAACACTTAAACATAGCCTAATAAAATCATGTCCCAAGTTTTCTTATTTAAATGATCCTTGGGCATGCTTTCATTTTGTCATGTATCATGTAGGCTTAGGCTACTTTGGAAATAAATCCATGCCCAAAGAACACAAAAAGCACGAAGAAGAATATTCAAATGTTAAATTGACATGTTCACGGTGTTAAGTTATTTTAAGAACTAAAACTGTTCGGAAACCAAATAAGTGTCAAAGTTAGAAAATAAATAGGGCTTAAGAGTTTATTGATAACCATTAATCACTTATTGTGTAAAATCAAATGAAACAATAGAGACAGATTGTGTGGATTATGATTATCAGCTTACCTGTTCCATACAAATGTCAACCACTGCCATAAATTATTTCTTGGAACAGAATTGATGACTTTCACTTTCTGTACAATCTGGGGTGCTGAATGGAGCCTCTGAAGGCAAAACATCTAAAACATAAGCTTAGGTTGGTAGGATAATGGATACACAATATTTCATTTATTTCGCAAAAATTGATATTAGTAAAGTTAAAAGTCTCAGTTCTTCAGTAAGACTAAGCATTTAGTACCAGTTAGGGCTATCAACAATATGCAATGACTTATGAAAAATCCAAATGTATTTAGCAAAGTGACCTGTGTCAATTCAAGGCCGTATCAAGTAAAAAAAAGTCACAAGTGCAGGATAAACTAAGGCATTTTTAGGCTGTTGAAGTTAAAAATATTGGACATTCTGTCAGGGAACTACTGACTGATAATGGAAAAGAGTTTGTCAACAGTGAAGTCAAGAAAATAACTGAGGAGCATGGCATGTATTACCGAACAACAATGCTATACGCCACAGCAAAATGGTGCTTCTGGAAAAACAGGGCATTAGTATAATCTGCCAGAAAGATGTTGCATGCTGCAAATTACCAAAGAAAATCTGTGGGGCGAAGCAATCATGACAGCTGTGTATGTTCTAAATCGAACAGGCCCATCATCAGTTGAGGGGACAACGCCATATAAGTTTATGGTTTGGGAAGAAAGCTTCCGTTAAACTTTTTTGAGTCTTTGGAAGAGAATATTTTGAAGGAGAAGAGAAAGAAATTTGACAAGAAAGCCAGAAAAGGATATCTTGTTGGATATTGTGGGGTTAAGGATGGCTACCGTGTGGATTTCTCCAAACTTAAAGGTAGTTTTATCTCGTGACGTTGTTTTCAAATATGAGAAAACATTCAGCGCAGTTTTTGAAAGTTTAAAATTTGAAGATGAGAACATCCCAGCGCCTGTGGAACAAAATGAAAAGTGTCCCACAAGTGAAACCCGCCAGTGTCTTCAACAACTGCAAGTTTACCCGACGAAGGACAGCGGTACAGTTTCAGAGACAGATCAAAATTGAAGCCTCCTGTGAAACTTGCTGATTGTGCTCTTCTGACATGTGTTGCAGAACCTACTAAGTACAAGAAAGCGTTGACATGCAAGGATCATCTTTGGGTCAAGGCAATGGATGAGGAAATAAAGGCGTTTGGTCCAGTGTTCTGGTGTAGTAAAAGGCAGAAATGTGTAGCTTTGTCAACTACAGAATCTGAGTTGAATGCTGCAAGTTTGGCTGTAGGGAAAGCAGTGTGGCTCAAGAGAATACTAGATGTAAATATTCACGACATAGAAATGAAACTAAATGTGGACAATCACAGTGCAATAAAGTTGCTACAAAATTTTGCATTTCATAACCGTACTAAACATATTGATGTGCAAATAAAGTTTGTACGGTACCTAAACCTAGAAAATCAATTCCAGACGGATCACTGTGAAAGCAGTTTCTTCTGAGTCTCAGCAGGCAGACATTTTAACAAAACCATGGCTAGACAACGATATTAGTACTTCAGAAAAAACTGATCGGAATGGACTTTTACCAGGATACATGACCAGCAGTTTTCTTGTTTGAGTAAAGTATAATTTTTAGGGGAAGTGTTGAGATAAAAAAATGATTTACTCAGTCCTGAAGCAGCTGTATATGTAATTCTGATTATTGTAATGTTTGTTTATTTAAGTTACTACCAGTTTATTAAAATGATTCTTTAACAGTGTCTTATATTTCTTTTATTCTAGGCCTACTATTAAAATCAGTTTATTACAACACTTATATTGCAAAATGTTTCACAATATGACTCACTATCCAAGTCTCAATTCCACAGTCATACGAACACAATCATGGTTTTTGATTTGGATGTTTAAAGCTTCTAGCAGGAAGTTTATAGGGCCCAAATCACAAATGCATGGCACAGACACCTTTCTTAATAATTCAATTTAAACTTGAAAGTGTCTAGTTAAAATAATCAAGTGACGCCATTATGCCATGCCTATTACTGCCAATGGCATAACTCAAAAGGTCATCTGAACAGTTTGCGGTATAAAAAGTGTATTTTTGGAATCATAAGGTAAAAATCTATAAAATTACATGTCAAAGCAAAAATTTGTAAGGACTGAGGTGGCACCTATATCGAATAAATACTCTTATAGCAGTTGATTTTTGAAAACTGCAGATCTGTTGAAAAAATTCTATGTCACCCATCTTAGTCCTGATGTGTGCTCAGCAAAAACAAGGTACTTTTATCCATGTTGTCTGTGACAATAAGATACTGTAGTTCTTGAACATTATAGCCAAAGATATAGCTAATATAAAATTAAACAGGTCAGTTACTAAACAAAATCCCATGTCACTGAAAAGTGAAAGCATGATCTAACTGTCTTAGTCAGTTCACATAACACACAGAAGTTTTATAGCCTGAGTAATGGGCTCTAGGCATGTATTATACTAGCCTAGCCTACCCTATTTTTAAGACACAAAATTAAGATATTAATTGGGCACTTTTAACTTATATGTGTGCATGTATAGAAAGGTCATTTTTTATTCATTACTACATCTTGCATTCAGTTTCATGGGTAAATATTTATAAGTTAGGCCTAATCATAAGCAATAAATTACAGGCTAAGATTTAGCCTCGTGAAATTGAAATGCTTAAAATGTAGACAAACCTTTGTGGTGGAGTTATAAATTTATCCTAAGAAAATATAATTTATAACGCCCTGAACAAGAGAGAAAACTGAAATATAACTAATTTCTAAACTCATTTGACGTTGAGGAGTAATGTTAACCTTATCACATCACTTGAAGCTTGCTTGAGTGTGTCGTCTTCGTTCTTCCTCAGATTACAAACGAAACGAAACAAGTGAAACAATGAATGACAATGATGATGATGATGATATGAATATGAAACTACGCACTTTTTTTAACAACAAACAAAATGAAAAAATGAAAACAAAACAAACAGTATGACAGATAAAGCAAAGCAGGTAAACTACACTTAGAATACAGTAAAGAAGCAAAAATCAATTGAGCAGCTTTTCAATCTCAGTATGGACCATTGATTTTAGAAATCATCATTTTTTTAGGGTTATAACCAAACATTGAGACAAAAATAATGAGAAACTAATCCTAAAATAATATAAACAAATTGAACAAAATTTAACAGGATTTTGAACGATATACAAACACTAGCAAACCCGTCGTGGCTTCGCTCAAGAAAATTTAAATTAAAAAGTTAAATATTCAACCTGAATATAGGGCCTACACTTCTTGTTTTTTTTTATATATATTCATTTAACTATGAAAAATCCGTTTTGCAGTAAAACACTTTTTCAAGCCACAAAGTAAATATTTTCATTTTATGTAATAAAATATAACCAGGTGTTCCCTTTAATTAAAGTGGCCATGCGGACAGTGTCTGTACGAAGCTCTTTCGGCCTCGAGTCGTCCAATATTACTCCGCAGACTTAAACCCCTGTTGACGAGGCACCTTACCACTAGCGTCTATCTCTTGTCTATCTTTCATTCCCACCTCTCCTATGGACTCCTGCTTTGGGGACACGCTGCAAGGTGTGAAGATATTCTTCTCCTTAAAAAAAGGCGGTTCGGATCATTGCGTCGAAGAGTTCCAGTGAACACTGTAGGCCAATCTGAAATTCTTGAAGTCAAAAGAAGCGGCTGAAAATTCTTACTACCTTCATAGCCAGTCTGTACTGTTTAGACTTTGTTATGTAAAGTATAACCTACACCAGCTCACAGCAAGAGAATTCCACCACTCCCACAACCTTCGTAACAGGGACCAGCTTCACATCAGCTAATCTTTGCATCTATGACGAATCCATGCAGCTTCACCTCCGTCAAAACGTCAGCGTTTGTACGACTGAGAGTGAACACAACAAATAATCTCTTGGATTTTTTCTTGGTTGAGGCTCAGTCCGTTTAGTTGGAACCAAGTCTTTGCCAAACTTAAAAACTTCTGCTGCCTTTTCCCTAACCAAAACAGGAGTAGATCCTCTGGCAACAATTTTTGTATCATCAGCAAACATTAGGACGCTTCCAATGGCACTAAGTTATTTATCATGACTAAAAAGAGGACCGGCCCCAATACTGAGCCCTGTGAGACACCATGCTCAACTAATCCAGGTAAGGAGTTGATAGCTCCACATATCGACAGCCCTTGTCTTCGGTCACTGAGATACGACTTGAAGGCATCAAATACACTGCCGCCGATCCCAACGTTTTCTATATTTTTTTGTAGCATCTTATGGTTGACGGGGTCAAAGGCTTTGCTTAGATCTGCAAGGACCAAAGCAGCAGAGCCCTTATCTTCGAATGTATCTAGGACCTCTCCTATCATCTCGGAGCCCAGATATAACTCATCGTAACATTTTCCCTGAAGTAAAGGAATACAATTTAGTTTACATCAGATTAGTTTCGTGTAACCAAATATGAAACAAATATTTTGCGAACAGTAAATAATCCATGTTCATAGGATATATAAATAGGATTGTATTTCTTCTATACTTTCTTAGAGAATTTTATGGTGGTTTTTGATAGTAAGTAACTAAAGACTAATAAATAATGGATATTGTTTTACGTTATAAAAACGTAGGTCGTTTAAAGATGGACAAAAAAGGAAAATATTAACATTAACTACAGTACGTTCTGCCAAGTGAACTTACAACTGTAATATCAACGTGGCGTTGCTAACGTCGATTTATTATTCTGCTCCGTATTGACTGTTCCTTTCTTCGTGTTGTGTTCGTTTGTTATTGTTTTCGTTTGAGGTTATTTTGTTGGTGATTATACTATTGTGAATAATCTAAATTAAATTTAGAAACAAAGAAAAAACAAACATTTTGAATATGTTTACTGCTGACCTATCATTTTTTACTGTAAGTACATTCCATGAAAGCAGAAGAGTACCAAATAAGTTATTCTTAGATTTGGAAAGTTTAAGATCACATCTTAAGGACATTTTTTGCATTGATGAGAATAGTTACTACTTGGTTACAAATGGAAGAAAGATAACCTCTCATGAAAATCCCTCTACAAATCCATTCTCTACAAATCCATTCTCTACAGTACACGTTATTCCCAGAGTTCTTGGAGGAAAGGGTGGTTTCGGGTCTATGCTTCGCGCAATTGGTGCTCAGATAGAAAAAACAACCAACCGAGAGGCTTGCAGAGACCTAAGTGGAAGAAGACTACGCGATATAAATGAAGAACAAAGGCTCAAAAACTGGATCGCTCAGCAAGCTGATCGGGAGAGAGAGGCAGCTGAACGCAAAAAGAAAAAACTTGAACGGCTATGTCAAGAACCTAAACATGACTTCAAAGATGATCAATATGATGAAAGTAGATCCACTATGACTGAGGTCATGAGCAGTTCAATTGAACAAGGATTTAAAGCAAGTACGAGTGGGACAAGCAATAGTTTAAAACGTAAATCAAAGGAAGGCGCGACAAAAAAGGAATTAGCCAAAAAGAAAAAGAAGAAACTATGGATTGACGCCGAAGAAAGCGAGAGTAGCTCTGATGAAAGTGCGATCAGTGAAAATGAGAGTGAAGTAAACAATGAAAAAGTAACAACAGACAACTCACAAATTGCCAACCCAAACAAACTTGAAGACAGTAATGTGTAAAAGGTTAACCTTATCTATTTTAAGTAGCCTACGGTTCTAATCACTTTGAGCATCCTTGAAATTAGTCTTATACTGTAGTAAGTTTAATTGATTTTCTTATTAATTATCTTTGTGAATAAAATATTTTATTACAGAACATTACGCCTATAATTTATTTAACTTTGGATACCGTAATTTAAATGAGACGAGCAGCAAATATTTGGTTCACATCTAATATGCTAAGTTGCAAACAAGTACAGTAGGTACTTTACCTCTTGTTTCAAGTTTCATAATGTAAGTTACACAGAATTCTCTGCAGAAGCCATTCGTATTCCTCCGAATGTTAGTATTTATGTAGTTTTTACATTTAAAATAACACTATTCGAGTGAATTTCAATAATCTATGGCCATTTATTCATGAGGAGGGTATAACGGTTTGGATTAAATATGTAGGCCTAATATACAAAGTTAGGAACATTTTGAGGTCTCATTGCAATCTGGAATTATTTTGCACTTAAAATATTTGTATACCTCTGACTGTTAATAACACTTCCCTGTAGCCTATGTCCATTACAAAACTGCAGTCATACTAGTGGTTTTTTTAAAAGGAAGTTAATAGAAAAGCATCAATTCTTAAAAGTTTAAAGTCCTTTAGTCTATTATTAAAACAATGGTGTATAAAGAAGATCCAAAAATTGAAAATGATTGAACAGTTCATTAACTTCTCTTTAAGAATATGTGTTTGTGTATTGTACACTATAAGTGTAAGTGTTGTTCGTTCACTTAGTATATAATAACCCAGCGTATAATATGTAGTGCTAAGCAAATTTCCTTTTGCGTAACTAGATTTTCTCTAAGATGTATCCCTAAAAATGTCAGAATTATTCTCTTTTTAGGTTTATTGATTACTTATCAAATTCAATAATGGAGAATAAGTAGCCTAAACTGTTGTATTTTGCTTGTTTTATGATCAAAGTTTGATCACATTTGGAAAAGTTACGAATTAGTACAGTACCTTAAGCTGGGTTTTCTTAGGCGCGGAGATAGGAACGCAGAGAGCGGGAAAGAGATTAACATGGTGTTCCGTTCCGCTTCTAGGAAAACAGTAACATTAAATTACCTAAGACAAGTGGAGTCCGCTCGCCACGTTCCTCTCTCCGCTCTCCACTTCCGTGCCTAGGAGAACCTGGCTTTACTTAAAACTTAACCTCATGACATTGTAAGGAGATATTTTTGTGAAAGTCCAATCAGGTGAATGAAAATTCGCTTAGACTTTTGATTTGGTGCATTGGGGGTATTTATACAGGGTTAGGCAAAAGTCTGGAACCCCCCAGTTAACTTTTTAACGTGTTGCAGTAGGAAAACAAACTCGGCACATATTTACAATATGAGAAATTGCACTTTTTCATCAAAGATACAACTTTGCCCCAGCCCCAAAAATGGGGTATTTTGGGGGCAGCCCCAAATTTTCAAATGTAAACACCGATCATGTGACCTCTCATTTTAAAGGGTTACTCAAGACAAATTAAATGGCGCAAACTAGAGGTCATATTAATGAACGTCCGTGAGACTCAATACTTCGTATGTAATAATAAGTTAATGCATATAAGTTGCATGAAACGTTATTTTCATCTTCTCCCGAGAAGTTTATTACAGCACAAATTCAATGCACAAATTACTAGGATGTACAATGTACAAATTCAAAAATCTCTTGTAAAGTTGTTTTAAGCAAGAAATAATTTTACAGACCTAGGTCATATAACTAGTTAGCTATATGGTCTGTGAATTATGAATTAGTTAGTTAAAAAAATTCACAGACCATTTGTGCATTAAATATTCCATAGTTGTATATTATTACATATACTATCAAGTTATGAGAGAATACATTTGTTTTGTCTGGTTTGCGCCATTCAATTTCTTTTCATCAACCCTTTAAAATGAGGGGTCACATGATAGGTGCTTACATTTGAAAATTTGGGGCTGCCCCCTAAATGGGTTAAGTTACACCTTGGGCAAAGGTGTAACTTTGATAAAAAAAGTGCAATTTCTTATGTTGTAAATATGTGCCGAGTTTGGTTTTCCTACTGCAACGCGTTAAAAAGTTAACTGGGTGGTTCCAGACTTTTGCCTAACCCTGTATTATTGTTACATGTTAAATTGATAAAAATGTTCTCTTATACATATGCCTTTTGACACTAAAGTTCAGTGTATTTGGGATACATTAGGTGGAGTACATAAACACGAGAATTATAAATATGGTAACTCAGGCTAAAAATATTTCATCTATCTCCAAAATACAGTAAACATGTAGATCAGTTCACCATAAAAATAATGTGATTGGTTTCAAGAAACTGAAACTTCCTTTGTAAATTAATTTTACATTAGGTACTGATTAAAACGGTACTTGTGAGATTATGTTAAATCCAATGGTTCCGGGGACTCACTGGAATGCACGTTGTACCATCAGCATCGGAGAATCAGCATATTCTGTGTGATGTGGCCGATGTGGGTTTTATGATTGAAGCGCAATCTGGAAATCCAAACGTTGACACGTTTCTAGCACTAGGGTAGGAGTTCAGCAATCTAACAATATCTTTAACACACATAACAACTGATGCAGAGAGTTTAAGTTTAAAAATAAAGAAACGTTTAAAAAATAGGGCTACTGGTCACACATCATAATATGTTGCAATTAGTTATTTGTCAAATTTTGATGAGCACATAGTTTTGTTTGGGCATGTGAACTATCCTTCACAGCTATTAATCTCACGATAATTGTTGAAACTGGGACGGGTGGCGTCGTCCTGTAATCCAGCTACTAGGAGGTTACAAATTGTGGATATTTATAGGCATGCACTGTGGATGCGATACTCTCTGGTGTGGATTAACGTCCGCACGAGTGAGTAATAAGACTATCCGCAGTACTATCCTGAAAATTAGACTAATTCGTATATACCATGGCAAAAATAAGGTTCTGATTCCACTTTAACTGTATGTCCCTTAATTGCTATAATAGCTGTATGGGTTATTAATTAACAGCTAACAGCTGTGTCTAAGGAATATAAGTCCGCCTTAGTCACTAAAAAGACTACAAGATCGCGCCACTCATCCTACACTCATCTCCATTCATACTTGGCTTAAAATACCTACTTTGTATGGTCACCATTTCATTGAAAAGTATTAAAAAGTTTACTATGGAGTGTGGGACCTCCAAAGTCACTTATCAACATCAAAACCTCACAGAGGTTAATGACTATAGAAGTTGACATTCAAAATGCTATTGTTAAGTAAGACCTCAGCACTGGATTTAGTAAAGAAAAATCAGGCTTTTAGATTGCACTTTGAGCCACATATAAGTTACAGCACCCATGCCCAAGATTTTGCTTTATTTATGGCATAAAATTGGCACTCCAATAAACTGCTTATTAAATTTATCTTTAGCCTAGGTGTTTTATTTTTTACTATTTTAAATGTTACAGTTAAAAAGTATCCTGTATTTTGATATTTATTTTGTAAAAGATGTTAAATTTGTTTTTAATCCTATGATAAATGATTGTATTAGCCATTCGGTACAAAATAATACAATAGGCATTGTCATTCTTAAAAAAAACTTAAGTCCAATCTTGACTAACATGCATATATCTAACTACTGCACATGCCACACTGCAAACAAGAACAATACAGAAATTAAGCTGCAAAAACTACAAACTACAAAGTAATGCAGCAAAACCATGCAGGTACCGTACACAAGCAAGCAAAAAAAATAGATAATATATGTTTCAGCTTCCTATTCAAAGGTGCAATAAATGGTTCATGCTTCATTGCATCAATAAAATCCTAGACATAATAAATACCCCCGCCGCAGCAAACCTGCAGAATAAGCGAATTTCAACTTGTCTGATTAGGTACATTTTTATTCAAATATTTCATACTATTCTCAATTTAAATAACATTAGATTTAACGAGTGCTTAGGTTTGCTGCAATGGGGAGGGTAAAAAGTGTTTTTGACCAAACGTCAATAGTATAGGAGGAAATAAATAAATTTGCCTAATGTTAATTTTCATATATCCATAAACAAGTAAACTACATCAGTTTTAATTGTTTCCATAAAAATAACATAGGAATTTTAAATTTACACTTGTTTTGAATTTTCTCCATAACCATTAGGAATTCAACAATGCTTCAATATACTAAATTATTATTTTTTTAAGTTCTACAAAATGGTTGGGAAAGAAATTCCATAATTTTATGTTTTTAGGGTCAAAAGGGGAAAATGGTCCAATCATGCGTAAATCGGTCCCGGGTCCAGGTCTTACCATGAGACCTGAGACCTATGGTAATAGTTCATTCCCTATATGGGAAATTTCTCTAAAAGAATTTGCCTATAGCATCTTCTTCAAGAAAATTTTGAATTAGAAAGAGATTTCACTATATTGTTACAGAATCTAGTCTTATACTGTGTACATGTACATCTTTATTTCGAGCATGTGTGTTTTCTGATTCATTGGCCAACTGTCTGATGAAACATTAACAGAAAATCTCTCTTGATACCTTCTTTTTCATATTTAGTGAGGGATATAACAAAGTTCTCTTTGTTATAAATTGCATTTTTACCGTTCCAGTTTAAAAACTGAATATGACCGCCAAATTCAATGTTTTAATTGGATAAAATAGAATTTATTTTCTAAAATTGGTCTCTCTCTAACACCTTAACAAAAATGCCGAGATTCAGAGCAGTTATAAAATCTAAGATAGAAAATATTTATTAAAATACTAAACGAATACGATTTTTTAAAACTTTTGTATTCAAAATTTCAGTTTTAATTTTTACTCATATAATTATTTTCTGAATTTTGACACTTTGAAACACTGTATATTGTATTACTATGAACCCTTAATTTTTTCCCCAATAAATAACATAGTACCATAGATGAAGTTAAAACAGAATAAATATGGTGCCAGCATAGTGTAGGCTACACAAGTTCACCCCAGAGAGAGCATTCAACGTGTTTTGTTTTCTCAATGTAAAAAATATCAGGTGGGATGTCTAAAATAATCCACGTCGAATGGTTCCTATGAGTTCTAAATAATATGAGCTTTTACCTTTTACCTTGATGAACAAAACTTGACATTTGTATACTCAGTACAATGGTACAATGTATTTAAATGAACATCCAGACCAGAACTGGAAGTAAGCCTATCACGGTGGCAGTGGCATGCGCCTTCACTTAGAGCCAAAGTGATTTATATGGCCGTGGATCAAAGATCAATCTGGCGTAATTTATACTTTATAGCCGCCTTTATTGGTCGATGGTGACAGTTCAAACAGACAAAGGTTAAATTATACTTCGACTAATATTTTGAAACTATCATATTTCTTTTGAAGAAGTTGTTGCTGTGCTTGAACTGTACCTACAATAAAAAATATTCTTTTTCAAAAAATCGTTCTTCCAAGAGAGAGTGTATTCAAAATATCTTTAGAGATTTTTATATCAAAGATCCCTTTTATACCTAAGGACAATTATTGTCCTTAGATAAAAATACATGCCATTGTGACATATATTTGAACACAACAATAGATCCACGCAGGTCTTCGCCATGAACACAGATTTGAGCTTCATAATAATGACGTGGTTAATACTGACATTCAACAAATCATCCAAGCACGAATTCCAACTATCGTGTTACTAAACATTGAATTCGTAAATACATTTAAATACTTTAAAAACTATATTATCAAAGCTCTCCCCACGAACATGGGATAGAACAAACTGGTAAAAACTGGATTCGTATTGGATCAAAAGCGGCAAGATAGACATCAACTCAAATATCTTAGTTCATTTCAAATAGGTAAGACCAAATACATGTTCAAAACCCAGATTTAAAAAGAACCCCGCTGTTAAACCTACGTAAAGCCCATTCAGTTATATTCGACAGGACTTTACACACAATACAAGTGATGTTTTCATCTCCGGTGATAAGGCGATATCAAGAGGCTGGACACGTAGTCCGTCAATTACTCCATTGAGGGACGACCCTCGACCAATCTCAGCGGCCAGGACCACGGACGGCTCTTGGACATACAACTTCACTCTGCAGAGCCATCTGGTTGCGTAATCAGCCACTTGCAATCCTGTTATACTAGTGTACATGTTGCTCGAAATCGAGCAATTGCAAAGAAGTATAGTAGTTACAGTATTTAAAAACAACTCATAGATTGCGTAAACAGTTCCATATAATGAAAATTTCTTGTAAATATTTGATCATTTTTCAAAAGCTGGTCTGGTTTTTTAGTGCATTCTACAAATCTTAGGTTGTCCGAGTTGATCTTCGTCAATAATGTAGTCTGCATTACCCATTGTCGCCAGTACGTTTCCAAATTTCAGTCATTTTTTATAGCGATAACATAATTTGTTTACATTACTTAAGAACTGCCTGATTTTCTACATAACCTCTCCGTCACAATTTTTATTTGCTTCAATTGGCATTAATTTGGCTAGTTAACTACATTCTTTTGTAATAAAAATTGGATACAGCTGGTCCATATAGATGGGAAGTCTACTTAGTATCCTAATAGTCAATGCTATTACATCGCTGGTGTAACTAAGCGATTTCTGATTTTATCAGTGATATATTCCAACCAAGGGTCACAATGAATAAAAAAACTTGTTCAATTTCGAACTGAAATGACAACGTAAGGCCTATTTCAAACTCTAAAATCTTTAATATCTACATAAACTCACAAAAAGTAACGGACCAAATATAATTTTGAAATTAGCACACTAGTGATCAGAGAACATCTCTGAGTGTCTCGTTCAGCGATCTAAAAATGAGTGACTACAGGGGCGTCATTTGGGGGGGGGGCTGGTTCTTGGGCTAGAGAAAAAAAATGCTGTACTAGCTAATATACAAATATTTTATCCTGTCAAATCCTAAAAAGCACGGCAGACAAAAATCTTGCCTATTCTTCTACAGTAATTTGAAACAAAAATATTATTTTTAAGTGTCTCAGTAGCACATTTGAATTAATTGTGTCAAATTATTTTATTGGTAATCAAATTTGATTTGATTTTAAGTATTTAAATACTTATGTTTTATTTAAAAACCAAATTAAACTGTTATGAACTATAGGCTATGAACACAACCGTATTCATTGCTATAGGTCTAAATGTTGTAGGCTACAAGAGAATTTGGTCAAAAATCTAATAACAAAAATATTATTAATACACTATGAAACTATTGATCACGTTTCTTAGATGACTAACTTACCAACATATTATTATGATTCTGTCTGTTATCAATAATTGTTAGTTTCATTAATTTTCTGCCTAAATTAAAATAAATTTGACTCATAATTTTGTTTTCATTCGAAGTGCTTTTGACAATTATAATAAGCTAAACCCTCTTTTTTTGTTAAAAAACTGCAAAATTTTCCAGGGGAGGAAAAATTTTGCGCCGTTTTGGATCCAAAACTTGAAAATGAAAATGAAATGAATCCAGTGCAAACCCCATTTCAAGTTTATGTTTGTTTAGAACAGTTATGTGAATAGAACTACTAATTTAAAATACTTTTTTTATTTTAGTTACACTCCAAAGAGTGATATACCTCCTCAACCAGGTCACAGTTGTCAAAAAAATTAAAAATTCTATTGAAAATACAGTTTTATAAACTGTTACGTCTCTTGTTTAGAATATAAAATACAATTCACATTTGAGCCACTATAAAGAAAGTTGGTCATGATAACTGGATCTTTGAAAATTGACTCGAGAAATAAAATAAACGTGAGGGGGCGAAGCCCTAAAGAAAATTACCTTTTAACCACCATTCGCAGGTCGGCTGGATCATAAGCTTTAGAGTGACACCTCAATTGTAAAACTCTTGTAAGTAGGACGGCTGGGAAAGGGATGTAACATGGAAACCCCTTACCCTTATTGTATTTTTCATATGTGTTCGTACGGTTCTTAAAACATTGAAACTAAATCAGCTGTTGCATTGTAGTCTTTCAACAAGTTTGCTCCTGTTGATCATAGTCAGCTGGTTGGAAGATGCAGCAGCAAATAGCGAAGAGCGAAGACGATCTACAAAGCTGGGCACTGAATAGCTGCTAGGGCGTGACTACCAATCTAAATAGTATAATAGCATGGGACAGCCACCGGCGGCCTAATTCAGTAGCCAATGCTTTCTGTGAGCAGCCGACATCTCTACAATGGATTACGAAAACGAAGGAGGTATTTATGTTTAATTAGTGCGCTTCTGTTCTTATGTTTACTGAATGTGCTCCTTAGTGATAAAGAGGTGCTGTGAGGTGTTCTAAGGTGGTCTTGGGCTTTTAAAAGTGGTTGTTTTTGTAAAACGTGCTTCTAGTATTGAGATTCAGTTTTTTGGAGCAGCGGCGGTTTGTATGTGATTTATGGAGTTCAATGTTTCAAATATAGTTTCGTATTCATAATTTGAGTTTTATGTCGATTTATGACTTTATTTGTGAATTATATGGCGTGGACAAGATTAACATTTTGAAAGGTGTCCGTTATTTTTAAAATCTTCAACATTGCGGATGTTTTCATGGGTACCAACTCATTTTGGGAGATTCGAAAATTTTTGCTGTGTATATATATTTTATAGCAAACGTAACATTTTAATTTGACTGTACTTCTTGTCCCAGTGCATATTACATCCGTACACAGACACACTAAATATTACCTAATATTATAATTAATTGATTTATACTGCTAAATAATTATTGCATACTGCAATTTTTGTAGACAATAACTTTTTCCATATTTTAATATTATAAAAAATGGTTTTTCTTTTCCGAGTTCGTTTGGCTCTTTTACCCAACCGATTTTCATGGTAGAGGTTTCAAATTGAAGGTATGCACGCACAGATAAAAAAAAAACACAGATTTTCTATATTTTCAAATTCTTACTTCAATTTAAGATGCATTTCACCAGTTATAATTATTTAATCATATTTTTTGTCTAAAAACATTCAGTGAATACCAGCTTTCATTTAAGCTATTGGTTATTCAAATCGGACGAGTTTCAAGCAAACACAAGACAAACAACCAACATAAAAATTATTTTTTAAGGTTTTCTAGGATTTAAAATCAATAGCTCCAGTATTGTTTGTGTTTTTTATATGTTTTAGACTCAAAATAATCAGTAAGTTATATCATTGACTAAGGAAATAAAAGTAAGCTTTTGTTTCCCTTGTCTGTGGTTATATGCTTTAATTTGAGCTATTGATCGTTTGAATCAGTTAGGTTCAAGATACACTGTATTACTCAATCAAAAATCATAAATTTGATTATTTCTTGGATATGATATTTGTTTTAACAAGTAAACAAGCAAACTAAATATTCTCCACATTTTACACATACAACTACAACCACATACATTTCACATTCTCCACAAGAATAAAATGGGAATTTTTAATTTGCAATTTTTAAATGTTCTCCGTAACCAATAACCGTACACTTTGTTATACTAAATGATTTATTTATTTAAGATGTTTAAAATGGTCTAGATATCAATTGCGAAATTTTGTTTTTTGAGGGTCAAAAATGAGAACATCCTTTTTTTACCCCATAAAAACCCCCCCGTAAAACCCTGTTCCCATGGTCTAATCATGCTAGTTCGCAAACTCATTCAAGTTTATCCCACCTTACACCTTCAAACCAAGTGTTATCAAAAACGGAGAGGAATTACTCAAGTTATCGCGTTCACGGACACGTATGTCAAATTTTTTATGGTAATTTGTACATTGTGCTGTCACGTCACATGATATTAACAGACCAAATAGCACAGAATACAATAGCTAATCAATGAGGAAGCCATTTTTATAAACCAATAAATAAAGATAAACAATTCAAAACATTCGCGTTTAAACTATAGCTAGCTCAGAGCAAGATCTCTGAGGACGGTACGTAGTGGCGAAAAATAGTTTATCACACGAACAAAAAATGTGTAATCTATTCGCCCCTTGCTCATTTCCTGACCTTGTTTTACCTTGGCTGACATCCTTGAACTAGTGTCGAAAAGAACTTTAAGCCCTAATGATGATATTCTATTGATCATTATGTTTGTAATGGGTCATATCACACCACAAGTCTTGTTCAGCATGTAACTGCCTCGACATCATAACAAGGAAGATACGATTGCTACGACTATCAGAAGATCTGATAACATTAACAGATCGACGAGGCAGTATGAGTTGAACACACCGTGCAATGAACGCGTGTTGTAATAGAAACTTTACAATGAGTGGACAATATCATAGTTTTGGAACAAATGCGGTGTTATGGAACCTTAGATGAAACTCGTGGCAAGGCGATCCAAGAAGTTGATGAAGATGTTGTATTTTAATAACGTCAGGTTAATTTGACTGATCCCGATTGTTGTCTGTTGTCATGACCATGGAGGTTGATGAAAATACCGGTGAGTAATTACTATGTGTAAAAGTTTGTTTACGCAAGACGTAACGTTTTACTTCGTGTTATTTTTTTAGATTTTAAATTCTGACCCGTGTACCAAACTAAAATTATATATAATAATTTTTAAATATAAACTCAGTTCTTTGTTAGAAATGAATAGTATTTTTGCTCCAAAAGTACTGTAAAAATTATGTGAAATATTTACAATTAGACCTAGTTTGATATTGACTAAGTTTAAGTAAGTTACTACTCGCACAGAACGTTTCTCCCCTCTAGCCATTGAAACCCGTTGATCGACTTTAACGCTCACTGATGACAGCATATAAAAGTATAATATAAACAAAATCGGATTAGTTTCAAATACTTGAGACAATACCGACAATGATTGTTCGCTTTTTGTGCTACTACTTCTAAAGAAAATTGAGATTATGGCTGTTTTGTTTTTCATTGGGATTTAGCATTCGGTAATAGTTTTGTGCCAATTTAAACCCCCATATGTAATTTATTTACTTGGAATAGGCTATGTTACTGTATAATGAATTGATCAAATCTATTTCTGTCCCTGAAATATCCTATCTAAACCCCCATTAGTCCACTGCTAAGACTAAGACTTTTAGTTTGTTTGTTTCACTACACATTCACAGTTCCCTAGCTGCGACTGGTTCACCAATAAATTTTGTTATAATTATGTTATATAGCTCCAAAATTATCTATTCCTAAAATTACAACCATATTCTTCGGCTAGTATTTAAATCGTAGCCTATTTAAAAACTAGCGCAAGAATATGGTGTATATGTATATAATGTTCTAACTAAATGGCTACATTTACAAACAATCAAATCTGTAGTGTAATCTTTAAACAATAGAAACAACTGAGGGTTTTCACTTTTGTACTGTAATCTTGTAAATTGTAATTTGCTAGTATACTGTGGATAGCTTGTTATAAACAGATGCTACAAGTAGCGTTTTGTTTACTTCTTCCTTGTTAATTAATTTAATCAACATAGTTACTTGGTCAACCCATAAGGTCAATGTTAAAGTTTTACATTTTCAAATGAGTTGTGTAGCTAAATACAAATTTTCTCGAGGTATCGGCTGCCGCCAATCACGTTTTTGAGGCTATAAGTCCCTAATTCCAAAATTTAGTCAAAATCCTTCCACTGGTTTTCGAGATATATTACTGATAGACAAGCAGACATTGCCCGTATTTGAAAATTAATGGAATTTTCTGACCAAGACGGAAGTGTATAGAAAATAGATTACCTAGATACATGAGTATTTGCATCGTGGGCACCCAAGAACATTTTTAGGGGTGAGCAAACGGTATCTTATTCCACGGGTTTAGGAAAAGTGGAGGGGATGGAATCGCATCCCCTAAATTTTGTGAACGAACCCAACGAAGTATAAAACATACCTAGCCTATATCGGAACCGGCCAACTTGTTAAATTTGTTAACTGTCATTTCTAATAAGGGTTGGATGTCTGTTGAGTTGACTAGCTTTCAGATCTTAATTAAACTGCCTTGGTCGTCTGCGAAGTTTATGTGCTCCAGTCAGTCTTCTAGTCCGCATCTTTAAAACATAGAGTTCTAGTCACAAGAAAACGTATGCCAGTACTTGCTGTTCATGTTCTTTTGTACTATCACTATGGGTAATAGCCGTACACGTTTTCACAAAGCTTTCTTCAAGCTCCTTTAATTTACGTCCCGCTAGTTTAGAGCGGCTTCTCTTTACTCCTACACCACTACAATTTAGCAATTGACGCCACTAGTTTCCGTGACTTTCAACGTTTGAAATCTTAGATCACAAAATGTCATCAAAGTGGCTTTTAAATAGTTTTATTTCGAAAGTATTTAATGCAGAAGAGTGGATTTGAATTTCTTAGTTATTCCGTTATTCCTCTTAGTTAGAATCAGTTTCTTCTGAAGAATTACCTATATCTTTCGTCCTACGTCAAACAAGAAAAATTAGAATCTTAGGTAAATCTGGTAGGTAAATTTTACGTCCGGATAATTAGAAAGAACAACTTTGGCCTCTTCAGGAATTTAAAAGCCTTTCAGGTCTTTTGGTATTTTGATATAATTTTTTTAGGTTTTCGTAGCTTCTGATTATTGGAGATTCGTCATTCAATCTTATGTGTGTGGTTTACATGTATCGTGTCGGTAAATTATGACATTGAAACGTTATCAAGATCGCATTTACACTGATCTGTTTCTGTTATCTGTGTGGCCAGTGTGTGTGGTAGGCTAGCTAGGGCTCAATACATCAACCAGGATATTTATCAAAATCGGTATGTTACCGTGTGTAGTCGATAAGGTAATCCACTGTTACGTAATAAATGTGGTTGGTTGCTAAGGTAAGCCACCGGTTTGTTATCATTGTGCAAAGTCAGCAAAGAAAACCACTGGTCTGCTATATTATATCTGGTTCTTGAAACATCCGGGTTGCTGTCAATTGTTGCCGGCTGGCTGCTGAGTATTACGGGTAAGCCACAGCCACGGGTTTGCTACTGCTATCATTGTGCACAGTCGGTTAAAACTACGGGACTTAAATCACTATATCTGGTTGTTGAAACACCAGTTAGCTGCTGTCTGTTCCTGGCCGGTACAGGAGGCACTCTCTCGTTTCTTTGTTGCTCTCGTCAGTAAGTCACCTGATTTTCTAATGTCATTGTTGCTCTAGTCTGAAAGTCCCTCCTATTTTGATGTAATTGTTGCTCTAGTCGGTAAGTCACCCGCTTTTCTGCTGGCATTGTTGCTCTGGTATGTAAGTCACCCGCTTTTCTGCTGTCATTGTT